CTCTTTTACTGGCTGCCTCATGAACAGCTTGAAAAGCCGTCTCAATGAGGACTTGCAGTTCGTCCTGGGTCTGTGCTCGAAGTAACACTGCCAGGTCATCCACAAAAGCCACCTCGCATCAAGCATGGGCTGGGATCTCTCTTCTCATATGAAGATCATGTACAGGTTCTGCATCTCCTTGCCACTTCGCTGCAGTTTGGGTTCGGATGGTGTTGTTAACGTCCTCCAGGATGACCGTCATCAGCATGTTGAACAGCACATCCCCAACTGGATCTCCCGGCCTTGTCCCTCTGGTGGTAAAGGCAGCAACTTCAGGCAGTCCTTCCATCTGAAAGAGTGTGGTCTTGAAGATATCAGTGAGAAGAAATTGCGCATGGCGAGAGATGCCCTCTGCGGCGTTGTCGTGCGCCGCTTGCTGCATCAGCTGTTCGATCTTCTCCTTAATGCCCATGTTCGTCAGCGCCGCAATGAATGCTGTGCCGTCGATGGGTAATTCGCAAAGACCTTGACGGATAACCGTGTAGAAGGCCGCGCGGAAGTCAACGAACAGTGCAGCCGCAGGCATCCTCTGTGTGGCTGAGTGTCGAAAATGTTCTTGCACCAGGAGATGGGGTGTGTCTGTGCTGCATCCTGCGCGACCTCCGAACTGAATATGCTTGATCTTGTTTTGCCAGGCCCGAGCGAGATGGTCTCGAAGTGCAGAATGATACAATTTGGCAACCACATTGTTGATGAAGATGGGCCTGTAGCCCTCGGGGTTGGATCGATGGAGTTTCCCTTTGTGAAGGGGCACCAACCTTCCCCCTCTCCACTCATTCGGTTCTCTTCCACGCAGGGCCACCTTTGTCGTGAGGGCCACAATGTGATGCACCATTGGCCCAGCACCAGCCTTAATGACGTCTGGTGGGATGCCATCTCGCCCGGGTGCTTTCCCTCGTTTGATAGTCCTGATCTTCTTTGCAATCTGATCCGTGGTTGGTATGGCTTCGATGTCCACTGCGTCAGGTGGGAGACCAAGGGATGGTGGCATCATCTTGTGCAGGGGCTCTCTTGACATAGGCAAGCCTCCTTCAACTTCTGCAAATTGTCGAAGCCACATCCGTTGTTGCTCTTGGAAGGAGCCAAGTGGATGGCCCTCCTTACCTTTGAGCAATGGTAGAGGCCACTTCTGTCCTGTTTTGTGGGCCGGTCTGCCTCCAAGTCTGGATAGGAGTCGATAAACCAAATGGAAGTCCTTGAGGTCACCGGCATCCTTGAGATTGGTGACAAGGTGCTCATAGTACACCTTCTGGTCCTCTTTGACCGCTTGCCGAACCTGTTTCTCCAGCAGCTTCATCAGTTCAGTTTTGTAGTACTCATCCTGCAGAAGGTCCTGCTTCCTCCCACAGTCGAGGGCTGACCTTTTCAGTTGGATGAGTGCCAGCGTGTTTTCTGATAGTCTTGGTCTGGTCTTCTCCTTGACCGTTGTGGTGAAGTGCTGCTTTGCCAGCTGCAAGACTGAATGCTGCCAAATTGCTGCGTGATCGTCTGCATGGACGTTCCAGCATGGAATGGGCATCGAGTTGAGTGCTTGTTGGAAGTCCTTGCACTTTTGAGGATCAAGCATTGCCAATCTACCCCAACGTGGTTTCTCCTTGCTGGCTTCGGCTGGCCACCATCCTCTGACATGCAAACATACTGGGAGATGGTCATCATGAGTGAACCCAAAGTCCTGTGTGTTGCATGTCCACGATGCCCAGCAGCATTCCAGTGCCTGCTCAGTGCACATCACGTAATCACGCCTGAGCTTGTTGCCTCTCGTGTGCTTCCATGTATGGTGGTCACCGATGTGGCACCAGGGCATTGTGGTGGGCGCATAGATCTTATTCTCCTCCAAGAAATATTCCAAAGCTTGGCCTTGTTCGTTTGACACTTCAGCACCATGGGTGTCAAAGAACTCTGAACTTTTTGTCGCTAATGGAGCATTTGCGTCGATCAGAAGCCAGGTCAGGTCTGACAACTTGGATTTCCTGAGGATTGTTGCGGTCTCGTCCCACCATTCACATACTTGATCAATGCTTATAGTAGTGCTTTTGCATGGAGCATGCAGCACTGCAAATGAGATCATGAAGCCATTGCCGGTGAGATTGACCACCAACCTGCGGGGATCGGTCCATGCTGCTGCCATCCTGGTTGCAGCTAGTGGAATCTCTGCGCCTTTGCAAATGGACATGGTTCTGTGTATCCAAAGCTCGCATCCATAATCAGGAATTCCATTAATGACTTTTGGCCCCGATGCTAAGATGGAGTAGTGGGTTGTTTGGTACCTTCCTTCTTTCCTTCTTGACTCCTGGATCCCAACGACTGCCCATCTTTCTTGATGCCACTGACAGTCTAGCCGCTCAGCTCTCGACGCAACAGGATCACCATCTTGAAAATCGTTTTTGTCATTGAGGGCCAAGACATTTGCTGTCGCGATCTTGAAATCGATCTGCCTCCAAACCGAACATTTTTTGTCATTCTGCAGCTGCTAAGGAAATCCCTTGTGCTGTCTTGCACTGATCTGTACAGCTACCGAACATTTGGTTGGTAGTCCGGCAAAAATTGGCCTTGACTGCACGTTTGGATGCTTCGGTGACAGCCTGCAGCCACGCAAAATCCCGCTCTTCGAGCTGGGAGAGGTCACGCTCTGCAAAAACTTGTCGTCGCACACGAATCGCCAGTCCCGCCAAAAGGGTGTCAATCATTGCCTTGCACAAATGAGCCGGGTACTCTTTGTCCCTTGCGGTCTTGAACTTGCCATCAATGGCATCAACACCTGCTAGCTGGCATGAAGGACGTTTGGCGTCCGGCTGGGCCAATGCATGAAAATGCATCGCCATATGAGGGAGACCCATCAACCTCAAGGTCGTAGGCTTAATCACGTCGGCCCCAAACTTCCATTGCTGAAAGTTCAACTTCTGGCTGCCTGGGGCTGACTCGCAGAAGGTCTGTTGGAGGCTGGTTCGCCAAGTGCTGGCGTACTCCTCGTTCGAGTGCGGCGCCGGATGTTCCATCATGGATGCTCCACCTTGCACCGCAATGCTGACCTCGCTTTTGATGTTCGAGAGCATCAAGGCACTCCCTGTATCGAGTTGACAAAGTTCGCGAAGGCTAAGCATCGGTAACCCCCAGGACCTGGTCGCGGAGCGTAGTGGACGCGGCCAGCGTAAGTGCACCATGAACTCCGGTGGCGGCAAGTGCCTCGCCGCCGACCACGTTTCACACGGTGGTCCAGAGGTCCAGAAAGGGAGGCGGTGATTAGGCCAAGGGAAACCATCTTCAATAAAACTTGAAGTCCTTCGCCCTCAAGCAAGTTACCCTGTTGACCACACACTGCCGTATCAAGGGACAACAAAATCACCTCCACATCAGGAAAGTAGGTTTTCTGCAGCACTTCTACCCAGTGGTGACAATCGGTCTCACGTCGCCGTCCGGAGAAGAGGTGCACGATGTAGATGACGCGGGACCCGTCACTCCGTCGGCAAACTGGCACTGGCGGCTGCTCAGTCCATGTAAGGACGGGAGCGCCCACAAAAGAATGTACTGTAGACCATCAGCAAGCGAGTCATACAAATTCTCCATGGGCTCGATGGGGGCTCGACAACGCGCATCTTCATGAGGTGCTTGCATTCGATCATCTCGCTCGGTGTCATCATCCGGAGGGACAAAACGATGCAACTTTTCTAACCGATCAAGTAGATCTGAAAGAGGTAGGTCATCAAGAAGGGCCAAGTATTGTGATTCAACCTCGATCTGGAGATCTGGATCTTCAATGTCAGCGATGATGTCACACATCTGTTCTGGTCCCCAGAGGCCGAAAGCCCAAAGCGCGAGAAGATGATGTCATTCACTCACCACTGCATATTGATCTATGCACATGCACCAAGAGTGAACTAAAATGTCACACGGGGCAGGCGTCAAAGCCCATTGCTTCGCCAGCGCATTCAATTGTTCATGAACCTCATGACATTCAGGGAATCCTGCCGCTTGCCAGTCACGCTGCCACGCAGCCCAATTGATGTCTGTGAGCACGCTCCCAGAGTGGCTGAGGTGGTTCAGGGGCAGGGCCGTGAGCACGTATCCACGGCAAACGGAATCTTCCTGGATGAATGTTAGCCAGATCTATTGGTGTAGAGGTCGTAGAGGGATCGATGTGTTTCTATAGCCACCAAAAACAACCCTTGGCATGGCGTCTGGTATAGCGAATGTGTTGTTGCAGCCTCTGAGCCGTCCAAAAACACCGACCACAACACAAGCACGTACTTGTGAAAACATACGATCGCTCTTGAGAAATACGCTGGTGCTGCTTCCATCGATTCGCACTCAGCCCCTGAACAGTGGAGAAGGATTTGCAACATTCATGGCAGGGGAAGATGGATGCGGCCTGCACGTCAGGGCCTGGAACATCATCAAAAACTACTCCCTTCTGCTGACAATGCGCTTTCAAGTCACGATGCGCACGTAAGACACGATGGGCAGTGTGCTCCTGCATGATCCGCCTGCGTACAGCACGCCTGATCATCTTAGGCGCTTGAGGTGGCAAGTCATGAATCCACTGCATAACTTCTGCAGCAGTGTCAGGGACAAAAGTCTGGCCATTCATGTCCGAAAACCAACGAATAGCTCTACCACGAATCATCATGCAAAGCATCTGCGGCTGTGATGGTGTCCCACACCATAGAAGGCGCATGCTGGTGCAACTGCAGCAAGAACAATAGGCGATGTTTGGTCAGGCGTAAGGCCAGGCATGGCAACTTCCAGGTGGCACGCGGCTCTGCGTCAGAAATGGTGTCCTGTGACCAGAACCCGTTGCCAATAATCCGCCTCTGCCACTTTACAATGGCCGCTTCCAGACGGTTGAACATTCTGGTCGCCAATGTAGTCCAACTTCATGCGCCATAGAAGACAATGGGGAGGACCAGCGATTCAAGCAATTTCAGTCGAACCGAAACAGCAAGGCGTTGATTGCTGAAGATGGCCTTACTCATCAATCTGTAGGCATTGCTGGCTTTGCCGATCTTCTGGTTGATATCGTTGCAGATGTCTGTACTCTGGGCGATAGTGATTCCAAGGTGCACATATTGCGAAACGATCCGCGATGGAGCGTGCTCCTTGACTTCTAACATGCCAAAGTCATCCACAAACCTGTTGCGCCGTAACTGTGCGGAATCTTTGCCTCTGTGCTGGAGGATTGCTTCTGTTTTGCCCTTCTCACAGTTCAGTCGTAATCCATAATGACCAAAAATGTGATGAGTGAGCAACATGACTGTCTCGAGCGTATCGTCAAGGCAGTCAGCATGACAGCACGGCACCAAAAGTGCTACATCATCAACCCAAGCCAGCACCGGAGCAGGAATCTCAAGCGCAAGAGAGGCTTCCAAAATCCGTGGTACTTGTTGAAGTTCACCATGGAGAGTTTTAAGAAGATCACACATTAGCGCATTGTAAGCTAAGTCGGCCAATGGTGATCCTGGCCTTGATCCTCTATGAGTTTGAAAGAGGGCTGGCGACTGTGGACAGACAAACCAAGTGTGTTTGTGAGCATCCTGTACAGCTCGTGCCGTGGGCTCATCAATGTGGTCAACAAAAGCTGCTGAATGAGCACGAATATCATGCACCAATGCTTGCACGTCAAGCCCCTCATTGCAGAGGACTCGACACAATTCTGTCGCAAGAACTTCATCAGAACCAAACGCATGCTGCCTCAATAGGCAGTGGAAGGCACTGCGTACATCCAGGAAAACTGTTGCAAGAGAAATCTTGTGGGCAGCTGTAACTTGTTCAAACGAACTAAGAACCAAAGATGCGAAAGCCGTCTGCTGCCCTCGGAAACCACCGAACTGTGTAGGTAGTTTTGTCTGTTCCAGCCACGGCAAGACTTTGGTTTGTATCAATGAGTGGTAAACTTTGCCAAGCGTGTCTAGCAAAGTGATTCCACGCATGCCACTGGCTGTGGTCAGGCCAGTCTTTTTCATGATGGAGTGGACAGTATCTCCTTTAAATTGCAAGGGTTCTGCTGCAGGCAACCAGGATTTGAAGACCAAAAAGAAGAAGATCTCGGAATGCTCACGCATGAGATGTTGAAGTACTTCTGCTTGAACAGAATCCAAGCCTGGTGCTTTGACTCTTTTCGCTTGTCGGCACAGTTTTTCGATCTCGAGGCGAGTGGGAAGCCTTTGGAGGTCAATTGCCAGAGGTTGTTCGTCAGCTGCTGTGCGTTGCTGTGCCGCAAATTTCTTGAGCAAATTGTCATATTCAATTTCCTCACCTGCCTCAAGTGAGCAGTAGTTCTGAGTCAATTCCTTCGCCGTTGGGCCAGTGCAGCGAATGTTGTGCTTCTTCTTCGCAATGGTCTTGGGGAGAAGGTGTTTGATCTGCCGCCAGAGGCCGTTCAGTCCTTCATCAGCGGCAACTTGGCTCTGCTTGTTTGCCATCTCCTCACAAAGTAGCGCTTGTCATCCTCACGTACGCCACGTAAGGCTGCTGCGCCAAGACGAGTGTATTGCCATGTGTGCAGGGCAAGTGACTTGTCACAAAGACGTAGCCATGGTTGGAGAGCAGCATCATCTCGCTCCCATTGATGACGTTGTCCTGCCCATGTTGCGAAAATCTCTCGCAGAACGCTGCGCCGTTGCAGTGATGCAATCTAGCGTTTCTGACGGATAAGGATCCAAGTAGCATCAGTCAAATGTGCTTTCCGTCTCACTGCTGCATGTGGACGTGGCACGTGCTGTTGCATCCAATTCTGAAGGAGAGCAGCATGAGAATGCACATCAGTTGACCATGTAATGGTAGGCGGATGGAGATCACCATCTTGCTGTCGTGGCTGTCGTGTCTTCGTTTCAGATGTTTCCAAAAGACAACGCAGGGGAATTTCAACACACACACACACACTTCTGTGATCTTTCTTTGGTGATGGTCAGGTCAACAGGAGTGATGTATGACTTGATTGCATCTGTTCGCAAAGAGGCATCGACAGCAACGAAGTCCAATCTTGATGTGCTTCCGGGGCTGTGAGCCCATGTGAAATGGTCACCTTGATGAAAGGCTTCAAAGGTTTGCGGAAAAAACAAAGCACTGTCATGGAGCCATTGATGAAAATGCTGCCCTGCTATGTTTTCAATTTCAGCCCCAGCAGTGCCAATGGCTAGAGACTCAATAGAGCCGACTCGTGCATTTGCATCCAACATCGCAATAAGAGGCCAAGAACGTCGTGAAGACGGGATAGCATTTGAAGTTGCTTGCCACCAGTCCTCTAGAATCTAGAAGTTGTGAATCCTGGCCAGCGGGGGCATGTCCACACACAAGAATCAGACGGAGGTCGTCTTTGCGCAACTGAACCACAATTCGTTGAGAGCTTGTGTGCAGGATGCGCAGGTAAGTCAACGTGGTTCTCAGCAAAACCGGCGAAGTGGAAAAGGAGGATCAGGTAGTTCACAAGGTACATATACTCAAGGAACTCGTGAAAGACAAGGGTGCAAAGAAACACCACAAAAAGAATGCAGAACCGGTGTTGACGGGGTTGTGTGAGATGTTGTGGTGGACCCCTAACCGCAATTCCAATCCTCCAAAAAGGCGCGGTAAGCCCCCCGCGGGAAAGACCAAAACTTCCCGCTAAGGCTATGACAGTGACCAACCACACAAGACTAACAACGGGCAGGTTGAGCCGGTTGAGCCGGTTGAGCCACCTTCAAACCGAACAAAGTGAAGAAAATGAAGAAAATCATAAGAAAAGCTAAGAAAATCATAAAACAAGAAATTATAACAATAAAAATTAAGGCAAGAGCTAATCTTAAACGACCCGAAACACCGAGACACCGAGACATCAACGAAGCGCTCCGCTCTCGGGGCACCGAGCAGATCATCGCGCCGCAGCCAACGCAGCCAATGGCCATCACGACGTCATATCCTGGAACATATCATGGATCTGAACATGTCATGTTATCATATGTTATCATATGTTCTGCAAATTTATATCTTGAATGTTAGATATGTTAGATATGTTAGATATGTTAGATTTATTGATCTCAATGGCAGAATTTAAGCTTAGTATGCTTAATTTGCCGAAATTCATGCTTAATTTATCTCTTTTCAAAACGAGAAAGGTAGAAAGGTAGAAGCCAGAAAAAAATGAAGATTTTAGACGAGCCAATAAACACTTGAAAACAATTCACATTTTTCACATCTTTCACATCTTTCACATCTT